ACATGAAGTCTACTTGGAGGGAGGGAGGAAAGAAGGGAGGAAGGCAGACAGACCAAAAGCAAAGGTAAACAAAATAAAATAGCTATACTGGACTACTTCAAAATTACAAATTTCTCATCAAAAGACACAATCAATGGAGTGAAAAGGCAACATACAGACTGGGAGAAAATGTTGGCAAATTTTATAAGATAAGGGGTAATATCCAGAATCCCTATAACAACAAAGAAACAAACAACTCAATAAGAAAATAACTAAAGGACTTGAATATTCTCCGAAGAAATATACAAATGGCCAAGAAGCACATGAAAAGATACTCAGATGCTCTAATCATTAATGATGTACTAGTCATTAGGGAAATACAAATCAAAATCATAATGAGATACCACCTCATACCCATTAAGATGACTATTATTGTAAAACTAAATAAAAAATGAAAATAACAAGTGTTGATAAGGATGCAGAAAAACTGGAACTCTTATGCACTAATGGTGGGAATGTAAAATGGTACAACTACTCTGGAAAATAAGGCAGTTCCTAAAAAATTAAACACAATTACTTTATGATCTTGCAATTCCACTTCCTGGTACATACCCAAAAGAACTGAAAGCAGGGACCCAAAGAGATATTTGTACATCAATGTTCTTAGCAGCATTATTCACAATAGTTAAAAGGTAGGAGCAACGAAGTGCCTATGAAAGGATGAATGGATAAATAAAATGTGGTATATACATATAATGGAATATTATTTACCCTTAAAAATGAAGGAAATTCTGGGGCATCTGGGTGGCTCAGCTGGTTGAGCTTCCAACTTCAGCTCAGGTCATGATTCATGGTTCCTGAGTTTGAGCACTGCCTCAGGCTCTGTGCTGACAGCTTGGAGCCTGGAGCCTGCTTCAGATTCTGTGTCTCCCTCTCTCCACCCCTCCCCTATTCACTCTCCCCCTCTCCTCTCAAAAATAAACATTTTAAAAAATTTTTAAAAATGCATGAAATTCTGACATGTATTATATCAAATGTCCTTGAGGACATTATGCTCAGTGAAATAAGCCAGTTACAAAAAGACAATTCTGTATGATTTCATTTACAGGAGGTACCTAGAGTAGTCCAATTCATAGACAGAAACAGAGTCCTGGTTGCCGGAGATGAGAGGAAGGGGAGAATAGGGAGTTGTTGTTTAATAGGTAGAGAGTTTCAGTTTCACAAGATGAAAAGTTCTGGAGATTAGGTTTTAAACAATGTGAATGTATTTATTAACATTACCGAACTGTACACTAAAGAAGTTAATATGGTAAATTTTCTAGCATGCCAATCACTTCCTTACCACAAATTTTAAACACTTTTGTTACATATTTCATACACAAAAAGGTATTATACTTTTTTAAAAAATTTTTAATGTTTATTTTTCAGACAGAGACAGAGCACAAGTGGAGGATGGGCAGACAGAGGGGACACAGAATCTGAAGCAGGTTCCAGGCTCTGAGCTGTCAGCACAGAGCCTGATGCGGAGCTAGAACTCACAAACGGTGAGATCATGACCTGAGGCCAAGTTGGAAGCTTAACCGACTGAGCCACCCAGGCATCCCAGGGTTATACTTTTTAATAGTGAGGGTGGGGAGTTTGAGAGAATAAAGTCGCATAACTTCTGTTTTGCCAAAAATCTGTATAAGCATGAACTGAATGTCATTTTTCAACCTTCACTATAATTTGAGAGATCAGAATACTAAGGGGAAAAAAAGAATAAAGAATACTGATTAGTAAGATAACCAATAACCCCAAAGAAATATAATTTCTACTTTACAGAATTATTCAAAAATCTTTTTTAAATTTTAAAAATGCAAAATAAAATACTATTACACAGTCATTCATTTTTACAAGAGAACTTTATCATTTACCTCCTTCCATGGACTGAATAAAATGTCAGAGTAAATACAATCATATTCACAAGGTCTATAGGGTGTTTTAGAAGTTTTTATTGTTAGGGCACGTGGGTGGCTCAGTCAGTTAAGCGTCTGTCTTCAGCCTAAGTCATGGTCTCACTGTTCCCGAGTTAGGGCCCTGCGCCAGACCCTGTGTGGACAGCTCAGAGCCCAGAGCCTGTTTTGGATTCTGTGTCTCTCTTTCTCTCTCTGCCCCTCCCCTGCTCACATTCTGACTCTCTCTCACTCTCAGAAATAAACACTAAAAAAAATTTTTAAATGCTTAAAATAGGGGCACCTGGTGGCTCAGTCAGCTAAGCATCTGACTCTTAGTTTTGGCTCAGATCATGATCTTGTGGTCTGTGATTGATCAAGCCTTGTGCTGGGCTCTGCGCCGAGGGTGTAGCACAGAGCCTGTCTGGGATTCTCTCTCTCCCATTATCTCTCTCTGCACCTCCCCTACTCTCTCTTTCTCTCTCTCTCAAAATAAGTTTAAAAATGCTTAAAACAAAAAAGAAGGCAAGTTAATGATGAAATATCTGTGTATATATACACATATAATTTGTTGCTGTTGTTATTTTAAGATATAATATTTTACACTACTCATTATTCTCAACCTATACTGGAAAATATCTCATCTTGTTTTTAAATGAAAGCAAAACAGCTTTCCCAATTATTACACCTTTGAATTAAAGTATATTGTTTCAAATAATGAAATCTTGCCATTTACAACAACATGGATGGAACTAGCAGGTATTATGCTAGGGGAAGTCAGTCAGAGAAAGACAAATATCATGATTTCACTCATATGTGGAATGAGAAACTCAACAGATGAACATAGGGGAAGATAAGGAAAAATAAGATAAAAACAGTGAGGGAAGCAAATCATAAGAGACTTCTAAATACAGAGAACAAACTGAGGGTTGCTGGAGGGGAGGGGGGTATGGGTTAAATGGGTGATGGGTATTAAGGAGGGCACTTTTCAGGATGAGCACTGGGTGTCATTATGCAAGCGATCAATCACTGGGTTCTACTCCTGAAGCCAAGACTACACTGTATGTTAACTAACTTAAATTTAAATTTAAAAAATACAAATATTGTTTCACAAACCCAGTCAATTCTAATTATTCACAGTTAAGAACAAACTTCTGAGATTACTTCTATTGTTCCAATAGCTGGTTCGGTCATTTTCCACTGTAGGAAAATGAAAGTACTCCACCTGTGAGTACTTGGGAAATAGGACTGTACCAATTCTGCCAAATTAGGCTCATATCTAGACAGCAAAAAAATTTTCTGGGTCTAAGAAACAATAAGTGTGTGCATATATATATATAATAGTACATATTAATTACAGTTTATTTCCCACCTATAGTGAATGGACCAACATCTCCATGTAATACTTAGAGGATTATCTAAAAATATAATCCCATTACATCCAGAAATTACGTACTAGCTATATTCAAACCTGCCACAGGTAATTTATATAATTGGTGAGTAAGAGTGATTGATACAACCAAATACTCTACAACCTTGCAAGTTTTCTTGTTCCACTGAAAAAAAATTTTTAATATTATCAGAAATTTAGCAGGTAAAATTGTACAATCCTAAAAAAGATCACATAGTTTTCCTTAAAAGAAGTAGACAAAACAAACTTGATGCATATAACAACACTAGCACTAGTTTCTTAAATCTACCATATTGGAAACCAGTTTCCCAAATAATTCTCCAATTAGTAATATAAGGGGGGAGGAGAAAAAAATAGCCTTTAAACTAAAATAAAAGCATTTTCTCAAAAAACCAAAGCTACAGATCTTATTTTTTAATGTTTACTTATTTATTGGGGGGGGGGGGAAGGGGTAGGGGACAGCAGAGAATATCAGGCAGGTTCCATGCTGTCAGCACAGAGCCTGGTAAGAACCTCAAACTCAGAAACTGTGAGATCATGACCTGAGCTGAAATCAAGAGTCAGACACTCAACCAATGGAGCCACCCAGGTGCCCCCAAATCTTATTTTGCATCTTGTTTATAATCTGTTGTCTCTATTTTTCAATATGCTGCTTTGCTGATACAAACAAAAATTCAAAATCTATCTTACCTCTTCCTGTTTAGGTATCTTATTTTCACCATTGTACTCTACTTAGACAAGAAAAACATGCAAAATTCTTACTGGACTCAGGCACCATAATTTCCTGCCAATATTCCTTTTTATGTATTATACATGTTACTTGTACTCTTGATCTTAAAAGTAATACAAACTATGGTTCATCATATTCTTCAAAGATGGCTACAATAGCAGATTGCTTCCTATGTGCTCTTCTTACAATGAGATGTTGATATTCCTCACTTCAAGTGGTGTGGTCTAGGTCTACTGCTCCCCTGAACCAAGGTGGGCCTTTATGACTACTTCAATTAACAGAAGAAAGCAAAGTAAGACTACGTGACTTCCAAAACTACATCAAATATGCCATGCAACTTCACCTTGTTCTCTTGGGATGCTCTCTCTTGGAACCTAGCCACCATGCTGTGAGGAAGCCAAGCAGCCAAAAGAAAAGGTCATGTGTAGGTGTTCTGGCCAAGAGCCCAGGCTGAGGTCCCTGCCAATAACCAGCATTAACCACCAGACACATGGCTGTGCAAGCCTTCAAATGATTCCAGCGCCCAGCCACCAAGCCACCCTAACCGTTCCAGCTACTCCACCTCAGACCACATATGAACAGAGACACACTGTCCCCACAAAGTAAGTCTTGACCATATTACAGAAACATAATCAAAATAAATGATTGGTATGTTTTGAACCACTAAGTTAACAACAGATAACACAAGCTCATAATAAAATTTGGAAAATGCACAAAAAGAAAGAAGAAACCTTTAATTACCCTAAGTTTCACCACTGTTAACATTTTGACACATATTTTACCATCAAGAAAATATTTTGCCCCACTCACCTAAGATTTCAAATGCTTTGTTTTTATCAGAATAAAGGGTCAAAATTTTAAAGGTGGTCAATTGTTTGTATCTAACCAGAAACAGGAAGAAAAAGCATTACAATCATTCTACTATTCTTATCTTTACTCTTTCACATACCTGTCCTTAGTGAGTTCTGAGGATGGCTGGTATACCAATATTCCAATCTATGGATGTGAATCAAGATGTTGGGTTGCGACAGTAGCTGCAATGGACCGCCTCCCTGGAAGAAATTGCTGAAGCCCCAAATCTGAAATTTTTAAGGAAAGAAAATGTTAAATATAAACATTTCCTTTCAATCACTTATATTTCCATCTCCACAATTAAATGAGTGCTGGCAAAGTAGGTTAAGATTACATGTAAGTGAATGCACAGGTTTCACTGAAAGTGGAGAGTAGGGTAATGTAGATTCAAGTTCCAGCTCCACTTCTTACTAAATATGTGATCTTACTTAAAGAACAAATTCTCAGGACACCTAGGTGGCTCAGTCAGTTAAGTGTCCCACTTTGGCTCAAGTCATGATCTCCTGGTTTGTGAGTTTGAGCCCCATATCAGGCTCTTTGCTAATAGCTGGGAGCCTAGAACCTGCTTCGGAGTGAGTGAGTGAGTGAGTGAGTGTGTGTGAGTGTGTGAGAGAGAGAGAGAGAGAGAGAGAGAGAGAGAGGGGAGAGGGGAGAGAGGAGAGAGTCGCGCATCCCGCCCCGCGCTGGGAGCCTAGAACCTGCTTGGGCGGGGAGAGAGAGAGAGAGAGTGTGTGTGTGTGTGTGTGTGTGTGTGTGTGTGAGAGAGAGAGAGAGAGAGAGAGAGAGAGAGAG